TATATATATATATATATAAGAGAAAAATGTAAGAACTTGGTACCAAGCACAAGTTTTGTGCTTGGTAACGAGGTGTTTCATTCTCATCTACTCTCCACTCTATGTTATATATATATATATATAAGAGAAAAATGTAAGAACTTGGTACCAAGCACAAGTTTTGTGCTTGGTAACGAGGTGTTTCATTCTCATCTACTCTCCACTCTATGTGAATGTGGTCCCCCATTTGAATGAGTAGATAAGAATGAGCCACCTCATTAGTAAGCACAAAAATTTGTGCTTGGTATCAAGTTCCTCCATGTTGTTCTCTCTATATATATCTTTTAACAATGATTATTAAGCATAGTTCTACCAAACACCTTAACTGTTTTTTAAGAAGTTTGTAATATTTGATTACCAAATAACTATTTAAGCAGCTTCTATAAGTTGCTTTTATATGCAACTTATTATAAGCTCCAGCAATACCAAACTAGCCCTTCAACACCTCTGAGCGAAAGAGGGGGAAAAATGAACATTACTTTCATTATTTCAAACTCAAGTATTGAAGCCAAAACTAAGATATAATTAAAATGAAAATATCAAATAATAATTAAGATCACATAATACCTGTCCCGTTAAAGCCCACACACATTCTCAAGTGAGAACAGAAAGCCAAAATAACAAAGAAAAGATGACATCCAAAAAATCAGTACTAAACACCCAAAAACACAAGCATGAAAATGATCAAAACCTTTGCTTTCTGTCGTCATGCCTCTTCTCGCCGCCGCACCAACGAACATCGCTCTTGGCTGCCCAGAAGGAATGTTGAGTGAGGTAAAATGAAAAGTTAACCTAACTGAGCTATATTTATATAGGGGTTAAACGGGCCGGGTAATCTCTTTATTAATCGAATTGACCCATATAAATAAATTGACCCAAAAACCGTTAATAGCGGGTTGGGTCAAGTCAACATTTTCCACCCGTAGTCGGAGACTAGAATTTTAAGAACTAATGCATGAATGATAGGGTTCATAATCTCATTTGACTTTTACGATGTATTTATATCATTCACACCTTAACATGGAAATGCAATTTTTCAGATAGTGTTCTTTATCATCTTGAAATTTTGCTCGATTCGTTGTGTCTTACCTGATTGATTTAGTTTTATGAATTCATATCTTGTTATTATGTTTGTGAGTGTGTTTTGTGTCTGGTTGATGTTTATACATGCATATTGATGTGTGAGAGGGAGAGTACACATGGTTTTGAATAGTAGGTTTTCTCAACACTAATATTTTTTTTAATAAACTAGAAAACATCGTAACTTTTATATAAGTAAAAGCTGAGTACAACAAAGTACTCAGCTACTCTATACATAGCAGTAGCACACAAAATAAACTATGAGAACTTAGACATGTAGGCCTCCTAAAAAACCAAAATACATTAAGGGAATATGTAAAACACTGATCCAATAGCATCCAGGGAAACCATGTGTCTGATATGAATTAGGAGCTCCTCATGTTCAAAGTAGTGGTACATGTGATCCAAAGAGTGCCCATATTAGGAAAGGAGATCAGCAACTTGGTTGCACTCATGAAAGCAATGAGAGACATGCATCTGAAGCACTTGGATATTATGCATGATAGAGTCCCAGGTAGAGGTTTGCTGCTAATAGGGACAAGCCTTGCCGACAGATTGGACGAGGGCATTGAAGTCAGTCTAGGCATGTGCTTGAGATATGGCCAAATCAACCAAAAATTTAGTACCATAGTCAAGAGCTTTCACCTCAGCTATTAAAGTAGTTCCATGAGCAGCAGGACCCACAAAAGCACCCACCAAACACCCAAGATGATCACGAATGACAGAACCAACAGCCAAGTTGTGATCCATACAAGATCCATCAACATTCAGAGCATATCTATCATATAAAGGAGCTTGCCAAGAACGAGTAGGACGGTTTTGTGAGGGGTTCCTAGGGGCTATGCCAATAGAACTCAGAGAATCCATCCCAAAATGGGGAGATTCTCTCCTAGGCTTGACTTTGGAGTCCAGAAGCTAAAGAGTATCAATCACAATCGAACGAGCCATAAGACGACCCTTCTTCATGTCCCCATGAATGGTGTTGTTCCTAAAATTCCAGATTTGCTTACTAATAGCAATTGCAGCAAGATGACCCATGATAGCAAATTGAGAATCACCCTTGCATCTCTCAAACCACCAATCAAGCCTTGCAGTAATAGGTTAAAGAGGATTGCATAGCACATCAAATAAGATACCAAAATATGACCATAGGGATTGAGCAAGTTCACCTCTAGAAAATAGATTTTCAAGAGATTCCTCATTAGCATAAGAGCAGCGAATATATTTTGAAGCAATAGAGATACCTTTCAGTTTGCCAGCAGCATCAATAGGGATGATCCGTTTGAGAAGTTTCCGACATAACAATTTAGGTTGCATAAGCATGATAGAATTCCAGGAACTATCAAGAATAGGCTCAAAGGCATAAATGTCTCTTACGGCATTCCAAGCAGACTTGGTGGAGAAAAAACCATCTTTCTCGGGGTCCAGCACAATCTATCATTACTACCAGTGAAGGGAGGGGCAGTCTCATGCAGGGGAAAAAAATCATTTTTTTTGTTATACGTAATGATGCACTTAGTGTAGTTAGTAATGTACTCGTCATAATTTCAGTTATCTCGTAGTTGAGGGTCTCCTTAAGTAAATAATTCTTTTTGGTTAAATATTGACTCTTCTTTTTGTCTTATTGGTCCTAATTTTGCTACCGTTCAGATAATCAATTGTTAATATCCACAACGGGCATTATCTTTCCTATGTTTAGAAATCATTTTGATTTACTTGAATAGATGTTGTTTTCCCTGCAATATATTTTGTTTTTGGCTCTTTCGCGTTTTATTAATGCCAACAGTTAAATTTAATCACATCATGCAAGAATTATCATCGTTTCTATCTAAACACACTCTTTTCCTAATCATCGGAAATTTTTTGGAAGACTTAAGGCACCCCTAGAGTTCTGCTGTGACATTCTGACATTGACAGAATTCTAAGTTCCCATAATCTGAAAATCTGTTTAGTTTGTACTTTGTAGTAAAGTTTCATGAAAATTGTACCTATTCTAGGGTTTTGTGAATTTCATTGTTTGTTTCCAATGTACTAAATAAGTTGGTGGCGGCGGAGGTTAAGGACATCAGAGTTGGCATCAACGATGGCGAGATGGCAGAACTTACGCTGGCGAGTGAAGCGCTCACATGGTGAAAGCCTTGTGGTTGGATAGGAACAAAAATTCCTCAGAGATGATAAGAGAGAGGGAGTCAATGGTGGAGAATCAGGAGGGGAACTAAGAAGGGTTGGAGTTAACTAGGGAAAGAAGGGGTTGAAAGGAGAGAACTGGCTTGGAGAGGTCAATGGGGTTAGAGTAGAAGCTCACATGAGAAGATTCCTGAAACTTTCTCCTTTCTGAACATAAGAGGCGGGGCCTACAAAGTTTTCTAAGTAATATTTGCCCTCTTTCTTGACATTGTTTCAGAGGCAGCCTGGATGGCCATCTAGGCAAATGCCCAGACTGCCTAAAGATAGCTTAATTCTTTTAGCATGCCAAAATTAAAAAACAAAACCAGCCCAGTTGACTATTAGTTTTGGAATTGGGTTGTGTGGATCTAATGGGTTAATATACAGATGTGTCTTGCTTTGTATTTTGATTTTATAATGCGCATATAGATGTTTGTAACCAAAAATGCAATTTGTTTTCTAACTATTTATCTCTTTATTTTTAAACAGTATCTTTTCCCGGGAATGGAACCGTGTTTATCATCAGAAGACACTATCTTTTCATCATTAGTTTCAGCATCTGGAAAGCTTCAACTCCTAGAGAAGGTTGGTTTAGATTTCTTACTAAAAATGCTCAAATATACATTTTTGTATTTCTGCTTGCTTCAGCACATGGCTACATGTAAAGCCGTCTGGTTAAACTGATTAGCTAATATCATTTATCTAATGAATAAATGTTTCAGTTGCTGCCTAGACTGAAATACAGAGGGAATCGTGTTCTACTTTTTTCTCAAATGGTCAAAATGCTTGATATTTTGGAGGACTTCCTGATGTTTCTTGGTATGTCATACTTCAGGTGAGCACACCGAGTAATAGTCTGCGTATTTGGTCCATGCTTTTTTGCAGTGATTCCTTTATACCTTTTGTGTTCTATACTGACAGTTAAATCCTACAATATATTTTCCGATTCATGCAATTTTATGATTCGAGAAGTTCCTATATGAATTTGCAGTGCCACGGGATTGAAATCTTGATATGTGCTTGTGAAATGTGTCATTTTATATTCTTATTCCCATCTCATACAATGTAAATTGGTAAACATATGGGTTAATTTCACAAAACCACCCTGAACTTTTTTAATCGCATGTAGCCCCACTGAACTTTGGTGTGACTCTGAAAACTCCCCTGAACTTTCAATCCTGAACTTTCAATCTCCCTTCACCTGACTATCTGCACCTGGCAACCAAAATTTCCTTTTGAGAAACCCCCCAAATTTAGTCAGTTTCCATTTACAGGCAACAGACAACCTTTCCCCAGTTGAGGGTTTTTTTCTCTCAATGAAGTTTTAGTTATTTTCCAATTACAGGTTGGGGATCTGGTGAAAAAAGTTGGAAGTTAAGAGGGGTTTTGAGAGATAAAAGGGTTCAGCATGGTTATGTGCAAAACACAACAAAGGTCAGGGTGATTTTGTGAAATTAACCTAAAAATTTCATACAATTTAAATTTACGTAGCCCCTCATCTAGTGTTTACAAAATGCAAGTTTTTACAATTATAGAACAATTGATGGTACATGATGAATTTAGGTGGAAGTATCTGAATCATGCGATATACATTTTATATGTTTACATTTTAGGGGATTGAGATCATGACCAACTGTTCAGATCACCTGAAAAGTGACCCATTTGAAATAATTTATAAGCACCCATATGCACTATTTTTTACCCATGTATATAAACTGTTTTTTATTTTATTTTGAGTTGTGATTGTGGCACCACCTGGAATCTGCAGGATTGATGGAAGTACACCTATTGCTGCAAGACAGGAGCAAATGAGAGATTTTAATGATCCCAATAGTCAAGTCTTTGTCTTCCTCATCTCAACACGTGCAGGTGGTCTAGGTATTGATTTGGTAAGCAACATCGACAGCTAAGCTAATTTCAAGCATTTTCTTTTTTTTTTCTTTTTTGCATGCATGAAGACCGATTTGTTTTTCAGACAAACCATTCAAGAAATGTTCTTGCACTTTGTTTTGGGAAGTTTGGTTCATTTATATTCATTAGTTATTATCTAATAGGCTTTTTCGCTCATGTACATTTACTTCTATTTATCGTCTTGGACAGCCGACTGCTGATAGGGTGATTATATATGGTAAGTATTTTACTCATTTTTATTTGTTCTATGCATGATTGCAATGCCTCTCTGATATAACTTTCTAATTTTCATTTAAAATTCTCTCAGATCCAGATTTTAATCCCTTCAACGATTTGCAAGCCCAGTCCAGGGCTCACCGGATTGGTCAAACCCGACCTGTGGTTGTTTATCAGCTTATAACAAAGTGCTCCGTAGAGGTTAAAATACTTCAGAAATCTAAAGAGAAGTTAGCAATAGAGAACTTAGTAATGAATCCTTCCAAGATACCAAGTGTCAGTGAATTGCATTCAGTACTGCTTCATGGTGCTCGTACAATCCTAAATAAGGAAAACATAAAAGCCACCACGATCCATTACGATGATAAAGCCATAGATGCTCTTCTTAAGCTAGACCCAGAACCTGGTGGTAATTGCAGCCCTGACGACAATGGGTATTTGGGCAGCATCCAAAATTTTGTTACTGAAGATGATGAAAATGGAAAACTTTCATCTCCGAAAGCTAAGGAATGGGAAAATATCCTTGGACCTGTAGAAGATGCAAAGGAAGAGGATGGAAATCTTGGCAGGGGGAAGAGGCAGAAGAAGAAAGAGGTCAATTACGAATGTGAAGAATCTGATAGCGATGATATATACTCGCCAGAGAGTTCGTCCTCTAGTGATAGCGATGACTCTGATTTTGAAGCAGCCTATGATGAAATGTAATCGTGACCTATCTTTTTTGTAGAGTTTCTTTTGGTTACAGGTGAAAATTGTGACTTCAAAGTGTCACCTGTATGCTCTTATCTGGCCAATTTTGTAGATACTAATTGTTTTTTGTGGCCAATTTTCTATAGCATTGTGCTTTAAAGAATCATGTTCAAGTATAACCAGTATTTTGTCGAGTTTGTACATCGGATAAATTAGGGTCTGCATCTGGGCTTCATATATTGTATATGCTCATAAGTCTCTTTAAATGTGCACTGAAACATTGTAACACTGCTAATTTTCACTTTTGAGTGAAATCAGCTTGGTTACATGGAACAAGGTTGATTATACTCATCCAAATGCACTTCACTCTGTTTAGGCAGTTGCAAATTTGTCATAATTGAGCATATGTTCATAAATGAACAACGAAATTTTGAGCGTACCTGGCATTTGAATTGGACATAATGCGCTGTACAACTATCCGATATTGAATGCTAGCAGGTGATCGTGCTTCGAAGAACAGTTTGGTGACGTGATAATTGAACTGAACATAATTATCTTTTGCCTTGAACTGGATATAGTTTTCTTCTGCCAGACCAATTTGAATGTCTAAACGAGAGGTCTTCGTGGGTTGTGGGGGATTTTTCAGAGGTTTTTTTTTTTAATTTAAATAGAAATTTTCAGTTGGTATGCAATCAACTTTGGCAAAGGGACTCCCGCAGTTTAGCGAGTGCGCCTCACGGGAAGTTATGACTGGAACAACATATATAATATCGCAAAATTCTAATTATTTTTCGTTCTATAGAGTGAAAGGTTACACGCAAGGTTTGTCAAGTTGTAAGAGACTTGTTTTACTTGTTATCTTTCATCTAAGTAGGGGTTAATTGGACCATTGGTCACCATGTTTATCACCTAATTGGACAATTATACCTGTGTTTTAATTGTTTGGATAGCTAGTCATGTCATTAAATACTAATTGGATCATTAATCACGTCCAACGCTTCTCGTCAAATGATGGGTTTTAGTGACATAACATAGAAAAGTTCTTGATTATTTGACATAAACACTTACTTCTATGCCTAATATCTTGATCACTTAAACAAGGAAATGAAAATTTGTAAAGTATGAGGCTACTTGTATTGGATAATTATATGGCATTTGACATTTTATTCTTGAAACTATAAACTTATGACATACTAAGTAAATTATATTGCTTAAAGACGAATGAAAACATACAAAGTGAGTAGTAATCCAATTAGTATTTAATTATACGACCGATCATCCAAACAATTAAAACATTGGTACGAAGGTTCAATTACTAGATAAATACAGTGCCAATGGCAATGATCCAATTAACGCTCTAAATAGATATGTCTCCTTTACGTACAAAGAGAAATGCCTCCTTCATACATAAAGAAAAATTGGAGGTTTGCCTATAAAGTCCCCACGCCGCAGTTAGTTGAGATCAAGGATAAGTAATACTTTCCAGTTAGTTTAAAATCCTAAATTGATCCTAAAGAGATAATTGGTATTTTAAAAACCTCCTTTATAAGTAAAGAAATCGGTAGGAATTACCAAAAACACTTCTCAAATAACTTTAAAAACCGCCGTGTGAAGCTGGGGGGAAAAAAAACAAAACCCAATAACGGATGACAATGTCAACTTGGCTCCTTCCCGTAACTTTGTTGCAAGGTTGTGAGCACCATGCTTTGTGATTTTGAGAAGGCGACCAAAAATTGCACCCAGACATAGATAGGCCAAAGCTACCCAAGGCATGCGTATAGCAAACGGTCGAACAGAACGTCATGCCAGAGCATCTTGGCGCATAACAGAAGCAAACATTTGCATAAGAACCAATGTTGCTTATACTTCCATACTCCGAAACCTCGTCGGGGTTTTTGAGAGAACAACATGTAGGCGTTAAAAAATACTTATAGACATCCAAACACCACTCAAAACAACATAGAAGAACGATATACACGTGCCGCGGCTAAGGCGCGGCAGCCTAGGGGGCCGCGGCTTAGGCGCTGCAACCTACAGTGTCGCGGCAGTTAAAGAAGGATGTTGTGGCAGTTATAAGGCAGTTATTCGATGATGTTTTGAAGTCTACGTGGCGGCGTATCAGAAATAGAACGCGTGCTGACGTGGACAAGCAGTTAAACCACGAAAAGAGTGGTTAAAGGTCGTGGGAGAGCGGTTTCAAGCACGATGGAACGTGCTGATAACCACCTCTTTGGCCGCGACATCCTATACTGCCGCGCCAATAGCCGCGGCAGTGTAGACTGCAGCGGCCAAAGAGAAAACACTCGGTCAGTTATTTTGTCCCCGTTTCAACTGTGGTGCACTGAGACCCCTATAAATACCTCTCTACACACGAAATAAAGGACATAGAGCATTTTGGAACAGAAGAGGCTTGAGCTTTCAGTGATTTTGAAGAAGAGAGAGAACTTTCACCCTTTGACAAGCATCATTCGGTGATTCCTAGAGATCTAAGCTCATACTTGATCTTTGGAAGAACGGATATCTTACATCGATAAGATATTCGTTTTCAAATTTTTACTTCGATAAACGAAGGAGAGATCCCTAAGCACCCTCACGATCTTTGAATCGGTGGTCAACGAGCCAAAGCACTCACGGCACAGGCAAAGTCCCACAAAGCAGGAGTTGATAGACAATTTCTGTGTTATTTTCTCGAGAGTTATAATTTTTGTTTAGTTTCATTGTAATTTCGTGTAAACAAATTAAAGTTTAATGGAATCGATAATGGAGTCAACTTTCGCTGAAAACAAGCTGGCGACTACAGTGGGAGCCAACGGTCTCGCTGTCGAGACCGTCGTGTCGCAGCCGATCAAGATTCCAGTTGAATCCATGATCGAATACGAATTCGACCAAACCAAATTTGAGGAATATCTCTCATCATCCTCTTCAAGATCTTCATTGTCTCGTAAATACAAGAGGATCTCACAATTGAGGAAGACTTCCATGCCAAAGAAGGCACAGAATGAAGACTCTCGCAACCTCTCTGCTCGTAATGACTCTTCTTCAATTAAGGAGTCATTAAATCAAAGCCC